ATTGGCCTGGGCCACACATCGTCCTGTGCAAACTGAACTGAACTGAACTGAACTGAACCTGACCTGACCCATTGTGCGGTTACCACATTCCTGCTTTTCTCCTTCTGCGTAACGCGTTACAACGGATGATGGATTTTGGCCTTGATTTAGAAGAGTTATCATCAGCTTTTGAAGTCAAAGAACAGCCGGAAACGAAAAGGGAGACAGAGGAAAGGCCTTTAAATTTTACTGATTATGAAGAAAAGAAGAGAAAGTATGTTTATCAGTCACTTTTTTGAAGAAATGATTCTATTTTCCGCTATATTGTTGATCTCAGTTGAAGCAATATTCAGTCTGTATATACTTTTGTAAACATTTAGGTGATAGCGAGGTATCTGATTTAATAAGCCTCTAAATGGTTTTTAAATTTGGACGGCATTTCCTCTAGTCTCAGTCTAACTCAGTTCAGTTCTTATTGTCTTGAGATAGTTCTCGAATTTGAGACTAAGCCCGAACGCGCCGAACATCAATCGTTGTCAGGGTTCCGTTGGTTTGATAGTTGTGAACGAAACTCTGATCTGTCTCTCGATCCTCCAGGTTGGAGTTCGACTGTAGTTTGCGTTTCAGTCGCTAAAAATTGGCAGGGTATTCGATCCAAGTAAATGGGCCGCGACTTCGCTTCACCCGCTGTCTTACGTTTAGGTTTTTCTCAGAACTAAAGGGTCTGGACGAGAACCCTAATCGTTCTCCTGATTAGTGGTCGAACACCCTGAGAGGTTATAGCCTTAAACTGCAACGAGAGCACTCCAGGTTGGAGATTAGTGTCAGGTTCTTCACGGACCGTGTAGTGCCGTTGTGGAACAGACTACCGGAGAATGTCATAAGCTGCTCGACAGTGGTGGCCTTTAAAAAGGCACTGGATCTGTACTGGGACGTAGTATTTTCAGAGCTGGCCACTTGAGAGGCGATAAAGGGACAAGGTGAATTCGTTTCTATATCTATGTATTTCCTTCATACATATCTGGTGGATGTGATGCTGCACCTAAAAATTCTGCCTTTCAGAAAAAAGGCAGAACGAACGTTTGACCAGCAGTGTTGGAAGCCAAGGTAACCAACTGACAAAACAACAATCTGGACGCACGATTGGTCTCGACCACTTCCGTCCTGTGCAAGCTGAACTGAACTGAGTACCCGTGCATTGAACTAATGCCTACACAAACTAAAATTAATTCCGTACTGCATCGGTGGTTGCGCAGGCTAATCAGGACCGCGCTGCCCATTGCATTGAGCTCAGATATCCCAACCTTTGTTTAATTATTTGTCTTCAGCACCCAGTCCTCTCCATTCGCCCCTTCTTCCGACCTGTAATGGTTTTTCAGTCAATTTGGATGTCGCTCACCAAAGGTCGTTGTCAAATGACACTACGTAATTTATCACGAAACGAATTGCAGACTAAAGCTTCTTCAGTCACGGAACCTTCAACGTGAGGACTCAGATGGAAGTAGGTCAATAAGCTTATGTGGCGCGTACAATGGAATCCTTAGGGATCGATATTTGCTGCGTGTCAGAGACTCGAATACAGGATTCTACAACCATAAGCCACTTAAGCGCCCCAGATTTGTCCTCGAGGTACGTTCTTCTCATATCAGGCGACTGTAAAGCCCGTTCAGTAGGTCAGCGCGGGGTAGTAACAGTAACAGGGCTGCGTCCTCTCTCATCTATTGGATCCCCGTCAATAGTCGTTTATGTGCAGTTCGCCTCAGGGTTCAATCAGCGTCCGGAAGGGAAGCAACACCAAAAGGTGTTTGTTCATCGGCATATGCATCGACCAATTGCATTTCTGATACACAAAAGAACGCTTTCTACGATGAACTCATCGATGTCATTCGGATGAGTCAAAGCTCCGACACACATACTCGCAGGTGACTTGAACGCGCAGTTTGGAAAACGAGGTCATCAGAAAATTGCCTAGGTGGTAGTTGTGCTATGCTTTGCCAGCAAACAGATGTCGATCGAATTCTTCAGTTCTGCACTGATCATCATCTGTTCCTATCCAGCACCAACTTCCGACAGCTCTAGACGGAAGGCAAAATGGCGCTCCAGTTTAACTGGTACGCTAACTCAAATCGACCATATAGCAGTAGACTATCGTTGGCGTGGTTCAGTGAAAAATTGCAGGTCCTATTGGACCACTTGCGTTGGGTTTGAACACGCATTAGTTTTGATGCAATCCATTCTTCGGCTAACCTGTCGACAAGAAAACCAGGAAACTCTTAAAGTTTATCATCGACTATCTGTTCCAGCTGTTCGTGCACACTATGAATCAGAGCTAGTGCGTATGATAAGCGCGTCTCAACTTGATGACGTAACTAAGCTACGGGATCAAATTAGGCGAGGAATGAATTCCACAGCGAATGTTGCTTGTGGGTCTGAGCCCCAAGCCCATCGGAGGCATTGGATATCTCAGGAGTCCGTAGCCATGATGGATAAAAAACGACAAATCTTGACCGACCAGGATCAAAACAGCCTCAAGCAAGACCTTGAGAACTAGTAGGCAGCAATAGCTAGTGAAATGGAAGTAGCGGCTCCATCAGGGAATAGTCAAAGACTGTTCCGACCAACACGTAATACGGTAGGTCGGCGAACTCCAGTTAGTGAAATAGTCTGCGATAAAATGGGACAAGCTCTTCCCAATAGGGATGAACCACTTGAACACTGATCGGAATACTTTAGCGAACAGTTCAGCTGGCCTAACACTAACTAGGTTTTTTCATATGCAAAAGAAGCTCCGTGATCAGTGTCGTGCGAACCTCCAGCAGGAACAGAAGTTCGGTCTTGCATTCAAGCTCTGAAGTGAGGAAAGGCAGCAGAACCGGATGAGCTCCCTTCCACTCTTCAAGATGGGCGGTGATAACCTCGTAAGCTCCATTACCACCCTGCTGCGCAACATTTGAACGCAAGAGCGCATTCCTCCATTTTGGGGCGAATCACTGATCGTTCCGATTTTCAAGAAATGATCTCCCAACGATTGCGAAAATCACCGCGGGATACGTTTGATCCCGATCGTCACCAAAGTGCTAGCCTCGATCATATTCCGGCATCTGAAGCTCTGATGGGTTCCCTTCTTTGAAAAGGAATGTCCTAGAAGTACGTTAACTTACTGATGTCACTGTGCTCACAGACCTCCGGTCATGTAAGGGTTTATGATGAACTAAGTAGGCCGTTGGTCACTAGCAGCGGCGTCCGTCAAGAATTCCCTCTTTCCCCGTTCCTTTTCAATTTCGTCGTAGACGAAATACTGGAGGACAAACTTAGGGGTCTCCGAACCGGAGATATTGAATGGGCAGCTGAAGAAAAACTGTGCGATTTGGAGTACACCGATGACATCGTCTGTCTGTTCGAATGTACGGAAGACGAGCAAAAAGCGCACCTGATAGACTAACAAATGCTGTTGCCACATTCGGTATGTGCTTTGCACCTTCAAAGTGCAAAGGGATGCTGCAGGATTGGGTTTCGCCTACCCCCGCTCTGACACTAAATGGCCAGGAATTACGTTTGGTGGATTGCTTTTCTTCTTAGGTAGCTGCGTAACCAAAGACAGCAGCGCTGGAAAGGAGAGAAACACCCGCATTTCCAAGGCTCGAGCAGCATACACAGGACTGAACTACCTTTGGCTTGGACGCGACGTTTCACTGAAATTGAAATGTCGTGTATATTGTGCTAGCGTTCGTTCAGTCCTGCTTCATGGTTATGAGACCCTGAATTTGCGAGTAGAAGATATCGATGGACGAGAAGTTTTCAATTATCGGTTTTTACGTAGTTTAGCCCATGTGGGATGGAGCGAACGGGCTAGCAATCTAGAGGTAAGTCGCCGTGTGTTTGGGAGTTCATCAGGGCTAAACCTGCTAGCATACCGAATTCAGATTAGTTGGCTTCGTTGACTGGGGCACGTATTGCGTATGTCCACCGCGCTTTATACGCTTTAGCCAATCCGAGCTGGAGGAGGTCAACTAATGAGGTGGAGACGAGGCATGAAGAAATGCAGAGAGAGTAGGTGGGTAGAGTGGGTGTCTCGTGCCTTCAAGGTTGGGGTCCGAAAGACTCCACAACTGGTTTATCGAGGACATTGAAGGATATGGCAGCGAACCGACAGCAGTGGCGTTCTTGTTGTCATTTCTTATCAATTCAGAACGCTTGAAAGGATATGTATGC